AGTGGAGGGTCCTTATTAACTTCAACATTGTTCATTTAATTGTTGGATTTGTTGCCTATAAAAGGGGAAGCTAGTTCCCAAAACACATCCAAGTTGTGAGTTCAAGTTAAAATATAAGCTTAAATCCTTTCTTACAACATATATTTCTCTCTTGTCTTCCCCTTTTCAGCATTGTTGTGCTCTTCCTTTTTCTTGAATATCAGAAAAAATGGTCAGTTATCTAAGGTTCATTAACACTATGAAATATTGTATTGTATTAATCAAAGCTTCTGAAATGTTTCGTTAATGGATTTCCAGGAAGGGAAGATGAGTTGGACGGTGGCCGACGCGGTGGACTACAAGGGTTTCCCCGCTGACAGGCTGAAAACCGGCGGTTGGGTTCCGGCTGCACTCGTCCTAGGTATGTTTGTCACATCAACCACCATGAACTTAAACAAAAAATCGTAGATGTTGAGATTCGAACTATTTCGAGCACGGTTAAACCGGTTTTTATATTCGAATACCTTGAATGTTAATAAATGTCATGTCATTTTCTGATTGGAGTTTGATGGGATAAGGAAGATCTTTATCATGCATGTAGAAAGCTCTGAATTATTGAGATTTCCTCAAAGCCAGTCTGCTTGCCACTAGTTCTTTGTGGTATTTAATATTACTCCACCTTTACAACATTATAGGCTTCACTTTCTTCTAACATTCATTTTGTTTATTTACTTAATTAAACTATAATTAACAAATAATCCTAGGGTTTCTTTGAGCTCTTACTTTTTCATAAACTTTGGACTTATTTGACAGGCATTGAGGTCTGTGAGAGGCTTTCAACAATGGGGATTGCAGTTAACCTTGTGACATACTTGGTTGGGGTGATGCATTTTCCGAGTTCGACGTCGGCCAATGTCGTGACAGATTTCATGGGCACATCGTTCCTCTTGTGTTTGCTCGGAGGCTTTCTCGCCGATTCTTTCTTAGGCCGGTACAAGACGATCGCCATCTTTTCCTTCATACAGACACTGGTGGGTGTTTGAAGAAAATTGTTTATAATTTTCAATCATCTTTTGTGCTGCATGTTCAGCTTTTGATCTGTGATCAAATGGTGATCATTTTTTAGGGGACTGGGGCATTAGCAATAGTTACAAAGCTGCCACAGTTACGCCCTCCGCCGTGCCATGCATCGGCATCCCATACATGCAGACCGGCAAATGGATTTCAGATGGGGATTTTATACGTGGCCTTATACCTAATTGCACTAGGCACAGGCGGCCTGAAATCAAGTGTCTCCGGGTTCGGAACCGATCAATTCGATGAGAAAGATGAGAAGGAGAAAGCTCAAATGACCTATTTTTTCAACAGGTTCTTCTTCTTCATCAGTATCGGAACCCTGACGGCGGTCACCGTGCTCGTCTACTTACAAGATGAAGTCGGTCGAAGCTGGAGTTACGGAATCTGCTGTGTTTCCATGCTTGTAGCCATCTTGATATTCTTATCAGGGACTAAAAGCTACAGGTACAAGAAAAGTTCAGGTAGTCCAATAGTTCAGATTTTCCAAGTTATTGTTGCTGCAATAAACAAAAGGAAGATGGAACTACCTTATAGTGTTGAATTATTGTATGAGGATACACCAGAGGCTCAAAGAATTCATCACACTGATCAATTCCGGTGAGTTTATTTCATTGTTCTTCAATGTTTGCATGGGGATAAATACCATACCTAAGGTCCTAATCAGTTACTTTTTTGTTTTTGTTACCTTAGCTTCTTGGACAAGGCAGCCATTGTTGCCGAAGGCGATTTCGAAAGAAGTGTCACCGTTTCGGCTCCGAATCCATGGAAACTTTGCTCGGTGACACGTGTGGAAGAAGTGAAGATGATGGTGGGACTTCTGCCTATATGGGCCACAACCATCATTTTTGGACCACTTATGCACAGATGATCACTTTTTCAGTGGAGCAAGCCTCCACCATGGAAAGATTAATTGGAGGTTTCCTAATTCCTGCCGGTTCCCTCACGGTCTTCTTCGTCGCTGCGATATTGATCACACTCGCCGTGTACGACCGTCTCATTATGCCGGTTTGGAAGAAATGGAAAGGAAAACCAGGTAAGCATGTGACACAAAATTTTACCTTTATCTACAAATAATTGTTGCAATGTGCATAATTAGCTAGCAACCATTTTCCGCAACAGGTTTCACCAACCTACAGAGAATTGCCATAGGCCTAGTCCTATCATCGTTCGGGATGGCGGCCGCCGCACTAGCTGAGAAGAAACGATTGTCGGTTGCGAGAACCACCACGACGACGATGACGCTGCCGATAAGCGTGTTCTTTCTGATTCCACAATTCTTCCTAGTGGGAGCCGGCGAGGCCTTCATATACATAGGCCAACTCGATTTCTTCATCACTCAATCACCCAAAGGAATGAAAACAATGAGCACCGGCCTCTTCCTCACGACGCTATCGCTCGGTTTCTTCGTCAGCAGCTTCTTGGTATCCGTGGTGAAGAGAGTAACAGGAGGAAGCAATGGTGGGCAAGGCTGGCTGGCTGATAACATAAACCATGGGAGACTTGATTGCTTCTATGGACTTTTAGCAGTTCTGGGGATCATAAACTTTGTACTGTATCTTGTTTGTGCCTCGTGGTACAAGCCAAGGATCCCTAAACCTGCCTTACAGATGGAGACCATTGTCAATGGCTCATCTGCTGAGAATAAGTGCTAGGGTTCTTTACACAGTTTGCACGATAATAATTGGTGTTATTGTAACTTTTGTCATCTTTGTGGATTAAACAACAGGTTTGGCTTTGGTTTTGTTTACGTAATCACTTTGTTAAAGATAAGCGTTAAATTTTCAATTTTTTTAAAATTTAACGTTAAATTTTGAACAAGGTATTAAAATGAAATAAAAACTAAAGTTTTTAACGGTAGATACTAAAATGTTTTAGATATGTTTTTTTAAAAATTTGAAAGTTTAGATACTAAAACGGATCAAAACTAATAATTTAGGTGCTAAATACAAACTTATCCAAAAAGTAAAATAAATATCATGTATCTGTTGCTGAATAGGGTTATATTGATTCTATACCCCATGTTTGGAATCACACAAATTGTGGAATAGAGCCTAAAGTCCCAAATTTTGTCAAAGGGATCACATCTTTTCCACCATCCAATAATAGGAGAAATAAAAAGTATATTCTAAGTATAAAATTCATCGTATTCATTGCTTTTTGGGTGTCAAATCTTTGGTGAAACAAAGGGGTGACTGATTGATGATATATTATTCTCCTTGCTCCAAGGGTCTGCTACATTAATTTCGTGGGGTTCTGTGGTATACAATTTTAGAATATTTTGGGACTTGTATGTAAAAGTTTCAACTTATACCACTAAATTCACAAACACTGAAGGTGGGTTTGCTTATCTATATGTCATGAGACCAAAGAATTATATGTTTTCTCTTTTTTGGGTAAATTACACATTTAATACCTAAAATATTAGTTTTGATTCGTTTTAATATCTAATTTTTTTTAAATCATGTCTAACGTTTAGTTTTTATTTCATTTTAGTATCTATCGTTAAAAACTTAATAGACGAGCTGACATGGCATAGCTCCGATAGATGGACAATCAATCCGGACGGTGGACCACGAGAGAATGACGAGTCGACTAACATAGTCCAATTTCAGACTCATTGGACGGTGGACGAAACCACTAAACTAGCTAAGGTCCTAATGCCAATTTTCTAATGGACCTATTCTTCTTCCTTTATAAATGAAGTTTGAGCCATTCGATGCAAACCTTTAGGAGTTTCTAAACAATTTTGGTTCTATTAACGCGCAAACCAAATTTGATCTTCCATTTAATAGCATTTTCTAAAGGGTAAAGTACACAAATGGTCCCCAACTATAGGGTATTACTATATCACATCCCTCAACTATTAAAAGTAATAAAATGATCCTCCAATTATAGAGTGTTGTTTTTTTGAGTCCCTTGACTATTAAAAATTATAGAATGATCACTCGACTATTCATTATGTTCGCTTGTCCTTTTCTATTGGTATTATGAGTGAACGTTAATTTGCTGATTGTGATATGATAAAATATGATCTTAGAACCTCAAACGACCATCATATCACAATCATAATGTTAACGTTCAGCTTAAACAACCGTCAATTTTTTTTAAGGAAAATGACAAATTTGGAACATAATGAATAATCATGTAAACATTTTGTAACTTTTAATAGTCGAGGGACTTAATAAAGTAGTACTCTATTTTCAGGGACCATTTGTGTACTTTACCCTTTTTTAAAAGTAAAGTTTAAATCTCTTGATTTAGCGTTAAGCAAAGTTCAATCTCGTAACCAAAAACCATGCTTAATCATCACATGCATACTTAATAGGGTTTATGCTTCAGAGTCAAATCATGAAAATGAATTAATTGCACCACACATCCTTAAACTATGATTTGTATTCTAAACTAATCTCTAACGTTTTTTATAATTTTAATTTCATAATCAAACTATGACTCTAGTTCTAGATTAGTCCTCAAACTTTTGAATATTCCAATTTCATCATGAAATTAAAACCCTCATTTTAAATTCATCCCTAAACTTTTGAAAATTTCAATTTCATCACAAACTATCGGTATATGCTAATCACATACCATGTTAATAAAACTATTAGACCAAGTTATATTATTATGTGTTCGAAAGAAGTAGGTTAAACTATAGTTGAAACTGATTATATATTTGGATGAATTTGGGGATGAAATTGGAAGATTCAAAAGTTTAGGGACCAATTTAGAGTGAGGGTCATAGTTTAGGGATGAAGTTGAAATGTTCTAAAGTTTGAGGATTAAAGTAGAGAATCATAGTTTGGGGATGAAATTAGAATGATTAAAAGTTTAGAGACTAATTTAAAATAAGTAATAGTTGAGGGATGCATGATGTAATTAACTGAAAAAACTATCTTTTCCTTCTATTGTAATCATAAAAAAGCAATCTTCCTCCCATGCATGCATGATTAAAAAGAAAGCACAAATACATCTTTTTATGTAGGAAACAAAGCAACAAAACAAAAAAACATAAAAGTATAATGCAATCCAAGTATTCAGTCCCCTAAACATGGAGATCAATGATGGCCATTAGCCATCATCTTCATCGACTCGAACCTCGGCCCCTTCTCCGAAAACTTCGTGGTCGAATACAACTTCAAATAATCCCCGAAACAATAACCGCTAGGGTACAACAGTTCCGAGGCTGGAGAAATCATTGCATCACCGGCGGGGTTATAAAACGTAGCGATCGAAAGCCTACTTCCATGCTTTTCGGCCATCACACGGTGCAACACACTCTTGTACCTCCCATTGCTCAACACTTCGAGCTGGTCGCCCGTGTTGACGAAGATGGTGTTGTTTCTCGAGGGGGGAATCCTTTGCCATTGTCCGTCTTTCAGGAATTCGAGGCCCGGGACCTGGTCGTCCTGGAGCAATAATATGATACCGCCGGCATCAGTGTGTTCCCGGAGACCTCTCACGAGGTCCGGGTTAGGACATTGAGGGTAGATCGCCACTTTCGTCCCTACGGATGGGCCTTTGGTGCCCGAGAAGGCTTTCTTTATGTGGTTTGGGTCCAGCCCTAGATTCTCACACATGAGTTCGGAGAGGGTTTCCGCTAGTTTCAGCAGCTGTGCTATGTATTCATCCATTGTTTCACTGTAAAAACATTCATCATTTTTTAGCCACCAATGAATCATGTACTTAGAGCATCCTTAGAAGTTACATCTCTATATCAGACCGAGTTGGATGGAATTTCTAATTTTGACTCAATTCGACTCGATTACATCTAACTCGAACCCTTTCGATATTAAAGTCACCTTGGAAGTGTTTACATTATGTCTGTCTATATAATATATATAAAACCGATTCAAGTTGTATATTCAGTTTTTCTCTTCTAATATGTAATATGTAAACCGGTTCAAGCCGTTCTTTGGAAATATGATTATATTCAAAGATGATTATGGGTCGGGCCAAATTTCTGATCCACTCGAACTTAATCCGAAAATTAAATCCGTCCATTTACTCCGTCTCGGAGTTAAAGAAGGATTTCATCTGGTCCAAAATCTGACTCACTTTTGAGATCAAAACTTGTACCCGACTTTTATATATGTATCGTTTTTAATTTTTTATTAGGTGAAATAAGAATTTAATTAAAAAATAATATACGAATGTATTACTATAATTATTTTAAAATATATAATAGATAAATTATAATATTATTTCGTGTTGGTTTAGATACGGTTTTTTCATGATAAGTACACAGATAGTCTTGTTTTGTTAAGTATTTCAACTATTAAAAGTTATAAAATGGTCTTTCGATTATAAGTGTTAGTTTGTTAAGTCCATCGGTTATTAAAAGTTACAAAATGGTCACTCGACTAATTATTATGTTCCAAATTCGTCATTTTCGTTAAAAAATAGATTATATTTAGAGTTGACGTTAATATGTTTACTGTGATATGATAAAATATAATACTAGAATCCTAAATGACTATCATATTCCAGTTATCATGTTGACGTCCAGCTTAAACAACCGTCAATCTTTTAACGAAAAAGGACGAGTTTGAAACATAATGAATAGTCGGACTATCATTTTATAACTTTAATAGTCAAGCTACTTAACAAAACAACATTCTATAGTCAGAGGATTATTTTATAATTTTTAATAGTTAAATGACTTAATAAAGCAGTACCCACCTATTTATTTATTTTTATTGATTACAAGTGTCGAATGTGAATACTAACTCACCAGAGTTCCTTTGAAATGTTTGGGATCTCATGGATGTTGTTATTTGGACGATGCCAAATGAAGAAGGTGGTTTCCCAGTCCCTATCTGAGATGAATCCATTGCTGTTTAAGCTTTCAACGATCTCAGATTCATAAAACTTTGCCTTCAGATTCTCATCGTAATGAACATTCACCAATTCTTTCACCTTCTCCATCAACTCCTTGTCGATCCCATGGTTATCGACCTGCAGAAAAAGGAAAACCCACCATTAAAATCACATTTGCAGGTGCAAATTTTGTAAAAGCACGAAAGGTTTATAAAAGAAAATCATAATCTGGAGTTGAAATAAAGAGGAGGATGGGATGATGTCTTTCACCTGAAAGCAGCCCCATTTCTCACAAGCTTCGTTGAGGAGCGCCATTGTTTTGCTCCTTTTCTGGCCGTTGAGTGCAGCAAAATCTATCACTGGAAGCTCCATTGCTAATATCCCATATCACAAAGAAACCGGTAACTTGGAAAACTATTTATAGGCTATCAAGAGGTTGCTTGCTTTGGTTCAAGTTGTGTAGTTTTTTTTAAGGAAATGATCACACGTTACCAGTTTTGTTATTATTTTTTTTAATAAAATCGGTAAAAAATTATCAGAAATATTATTATTTCTACCGATTTTATTATTATTGGATTATTTACTAATTTTATTAATAAATCCGATAAAACGCTACCTGTTTTGTTATTATTAGATACTTTACCGGAATTATTAAAAAATATTAATGTTTTAGGTAATATTTTTACCGGTTTTGTTAAAAAAATAATAATAACAAAACCGGTAGCGCATTTATTTAACCGTATATTAAGGGTGCCGCACTATAAAACTCTTTTTTTTTTCTTTTTCTTTTTTCAGCATTTTCCCACTAAAGTTTAGATAAATATAAAATTAATGAACTTAAATTTGCACAAATCGAATTATCTTGGTAGTTAAAGATGATTTATCCGTAAAGGTATTAAGTTCAAGCATTGTAAACAAGGTGATCGAGCGCGTTCGTTGTCAAATGACTTGAATCTTTATAACAGATATCACGTTGTAATCACCTAAGCTTAATAAAAATTTGATACTTGTAATTTATCTAATCTATGCTTAAATATCGGGACGAAGGTAGATAAAAAGTAAGAAGGGAGTATCTCAAAATTTTAGTCTAATAACATTTTAGATCCTTATCGATTTAAATTTTAGTAAAACTGATTTTCATTCTCTCTAATTTCTCGAATTAAAATATAACAAATCCCTTAATTTTAGACTCATACAAATTATCCATCTCAATATTCGATCACAATAGATCAATATCAGAACAACTTGTCCCATTAAAAATCATTTTAAACTCAAATCTAAAATTTAAAATAATAAAATTGAAATAATTCATAAAAAATTAAATTTAAACTAACTTCATTGACTGGTCCAATTACAAAGTAAAAGTCATTGAAAAGGGAGTGATTAATTGTCCAAATTCAATTAATTTAACACCATGGGGGTCGGTGTAAGGAAAGCAATCATGCCATGTGAAGGAATCATGAATTTTCTTTCATTTTCCCGAGAAACAAAAGGAAAATACACTTCCCCTCATTGGCTCACTGATTCACATCATGTGGACTTTTCTCAGTACTTGCTGATTATTTAATATAATCTATGCTTTTCATATCGATCCAATTTGTTGGAAATCTAGTTGCCCGATCAGCAGTTTTCTTACATTCAACAAAAACTAGGGGTGGACACAACCAATTCCTTGGTCTCAAACAACTAAAATCCACAGATATAAAGTATTATTTATAGGGCTAAATCCAGTTCCATTATATAAAACTCTTAGGGGATGTTTGGTTCAATGTATATTTTATTACCGGGGAATGTAATCCTTATTCCCCGTTTGGTTGGTCAACATTCCCAGCTCCGATAATCTTTTATTACCAACAATAGATTTTTTGGGATATATTACCAGAAATGTGATTACCTCTTTCCCTTAGGTATTGTTGGATTACCGGTATTTTGGACTAAAATGCCCTTAATTTTTTTTTCAAAAAAATTCTTCTTTGAATAATAAAAATTCTACGAAGGTTAGATTACAAATTTATCCTTAAACTATTTTAGATTTACAAAAAAAATCTATAATTAAAATTTTATATGAAGTTCAGGGGTTAGAATAAAATTTTACCCTTTCATTAAACATATTTATCTTTTCAATTTTGTAAAAAAATTATATAAATTTTATCAATTTAAATTTTTTAAAGAAAATATATAAATTAATTATAGTACTATTATAGTAGAATTCAACTTGTTAAAAAACAAATATATAATAAGGACAATTTGGTAAAATATACATTCCAATAATCTTTTATTCCTTTAATCAAACACTTTAATATTACATTCCTGCTAAACCAACAAAACACAAAATATAACATTCTCAGTAATCCTATTCCCTGGTAATCTTTATTTTCACTGATAATCTTACATTCCATGAACCAAACGTACCCTTATAGTTTTATATCTTTTTTGGGACAATTGGATGAGAGAAATTACAAAATGAGATTAACAGTAGAAAATAAGAATATATTCACTCCGAAAAAAATAAGGATGAATCTCAGCCTTTAATTTCCTTCGATCCAATGATCCTAAATATATAAAATTTTAAAAAAAATTACACGGTGTAAGTGGTCTTGACCCTTTTTTTAACTATTCAAATATATAATCTTTAAGTTATTACAATGATAATATTAGTTAGAAATCGTGTAATAGATTAATTATTGTCTTAAAAGATAAATTATTTTGATTAGTATAACCCTTTTTTTCCTTCTATCTCGTGTGAGATTTAACTTTATATATTCTTAATATTTTTAATAATATCAATTAAATCAATAAAATATTTATAAAATTTATAATGTTTTGAATATTAATTATGAGTGGAAATAAAATGAACATAAAACAAACATATGAAAACAACCTAAGAGAAACAGGGGACAGAATTTATATTAAAGAATTTTAACAATGGGCGGTTCGAATTTGTCATTTTTGATGTTGTCCTATCGTGATTTATGGGAACTTGTATTGTGGGACTGTTAGGTCGAATATTTTAAGAGTTGTTGCTGCACCAAATTATCATAAACCCGTCTTGATTACGATTGTTATATCTAGTAGCGGAATTTGGTGATAAAATTTGAGGGGTAATTTAGAACTTCGAAGAGTTTAATTTATATATATTTTTTTAAAATATTAGGGTCTAACTAAAATTTTTAAATTTTGAGAGGCTTAATAAGAATTTTGTTAAGATTATAGGAGGAGATTTAATTAAGGACATTAAGAAATTTAAAGTTTAATCTGAATTTTTAAAAATTTTAGGGGGACCAAATTAAATTTTTTGAAAATTTAAGGGATCTAAATTATAATGTTTGAAATTTTGGGGGCATGTTCCCACTAGCCCTACTTATGTTCCACCACTGTTTATATCAGCTCTCGGTTATAGCTTTTCAAGAGATATTTTGATTATATAATCGGTTGAAACTTTCAATAATTCAATATTTTGTATTTTCAATGTGACATTATCGTAGAGTGTCCAAGATTTTATCTCCCGTCTTCTAAAGAGCACCAGAGAGTGTCTCGGAGAGGAGGACACGATCTGAAGATCATTTAGGACGTAAAACGTTTACTATGACTTACCTCCTAACATTGTACAAATCACTCGATTTTACCTTTTAGCAGTGGCAGATGCGGATAGATATATGTTCATCCTGGAATATGAATTTCTTTATATTTGTTGTCCATTTTACTAATGGTGCCTCTCTCGTACAAAAAAATTCCTCTTTTAGTACATATGTGTCCACTCTGAAAAACATTTATGGATCTGTTATTGCTACTTAAGAAATATCGAAACTTTCAACAATTATATATTGTAGTTTTTAGGTGACAATACCATGAAATGCTTAATATTTACTCTCTTACCTTCTAATGAATCTTGGGGAGTAACTTACGGAAAGAGAGCACAATCTAAAGATCATGTAGGGCGTAAATCGTTTACTATGACTTTGACTATAGCATCACAGGATGACCTAATTAAGGGCATGAGGGTGGAGAGGACTTGATTGTGAAGTCCACGACCCTCATGAACTGTAAGTCACTCATCGTATCGGGGTAATAGTTCCCGGGCTTCTTCGGGTACCTCATGGTCTCCATGAGACGAGACCGATAATTCTCTTTTACCTTCTTTCTGTTGGTTTTTGGCAAATATCCCACATTGGTTTTGTATAAGGATGAGGGGAAATTCTTTTGTTATAAATAGAGTCCTCTTCCTCCTTAGTTTAATATCCCACAAAAATAAGCCTTTTTCTATATTAAAGGCTATTTGTATTCTTTCTTTCTCTTTGTAATATTTCCTCTACTAGTGAAATATTATTTTAGTAGTGTTCAAGGAGGTAGGCATAATTTTGGCCTAACCTCGTTAAATTTTGGTGTTCTCTTTATGTCTATTTAATAGCTATTGTCGGGTATAGTTGTTGTTAATTATTGTCCTATTAAAATTACTTGTCTTGGTAGTTCTGTCTAAGGAAAGTGGATTTTAAGAGAGACCATTGTGACCCCTCCTCTTTCCTGGGAATCTACCTTGGTGTGATTTTTAGTACAATCGTTTTCACACTAGTCACCTAGATAATAGTTCTCAAGGTGAATTTGTTATTATTGGTGGAAATTAACCCGAATTCCACAACAATTGATATCAGCGCTCTTGGTTTATTTTAGTATGCTCTGTGGTTGCGGCTTAGGCTGATCTTCCACATCAGAAAAAAAATCCTTGGGATAGTTGGCATTCCGCATTGACAGCTATTAAATAGAATTTGTAGCAGAAATGGCAGACGCAACAAAAACATCCACATCGTCGTCAACAGCTGTGACAAATGTTAGATTTGCAGTGGAGATTTTTGATGGCACCGGTCATTTTGGCATGTGGCAAAGTGAGGTTCTAGATGCCCTATTTCAGCAGGGTCTAGACATTGCTATTGAAGGAGAGAAACCAGATGATGTTGAGGAGAAAGAATGGAAGAGGATCAATAGATTGGCATGTGGTACTATTCGATCGTGTCTTTCTAGAGAGAAGAAGTATGCATTTTCTAAGGAAACTTCTGCAAGTAAATTGTGGAAGGCACTGGAGGAGAAATTTTTGAAGAAAAGCGGTCAGAACAAGCTCTACATGAAAAAGAGATTGTTTCGCTTCAACTATGTATCATGGTACTACTATGAATGATCACATTACTAGCTTTAATCAGCTGGTGACTGATCTGATGAATATGGACGTGACTTTTGAAGACGAAGATCTGACTCTAATATTGATGGGATCACTTCCTGATGAGTTTGAGTATCTTGAAACTACTCTACTTCATGGGAAAGTTGATGTGTCTCTCAGTGAAGTAACTGTTGCCTTGTATAATTATGAATTGAGAAAGAAAGACAAACAAGAAAACACAAGTGTCGAAGTAG